GTCTCTCTGCCACCTGTCCATCTTACCATCTGTCTGTGCCTGTCTGTGCCTGTCTGTCGGTTTGTCTGTCTGTCTGTCTGGATCTTTCCACCTGTTTCTATCTGCCTGTTCACCTGTACGTCCGTCTCTCTGCCCATCTGTTCATCAGTCTGTCTGTCACCTGTTCACGTGTTTTCATCCGTCTGTCTGTCTGTCTGTCTGTCTACCTGTGCACCTGTCCCTTTCTTTCCTCCTCTGTCTGCCAGTATGTCAGTCCATCGGTCAGTCTGTAAGGCTCTCTGTCAGACTCTCTGACCACCCTGTCTGTTGGTTTGTCAGACGTTCAGGCTGTTCATCTGGCACTTTGTATCTTCATAAATCTGAATTTCTGTCAGATTGACAAGAGAAAGAGAGAGTTATGAACAGGAGAATCACAGACTGATTGACTGACAAACAGAGAGAAAAACAGATTTGAAAACACCTTCCTGTCAGGTTGTCGGTCGGTCAGTCTATCCATCCTCCTGTCTGCCTCTCAGTTTGCACATGCGTCTACCTGTCCACCTCTCTGCTTCTCTGTCGTCCCATTTTTCTGTCAGTCTATCCATCGTTGTGTCTGTCTGTTGGTCTGTACGCTACCGTCTTCGCCCGAATAGAACACCCTGTCATTATAGCCGTATTTGGTCCAACTTTCAGTCTGCATACAGCGATAATGACAGGGCGTTCTATTCGGGCGAAGACGGTAGGCCGCCGGGCAGTTTTGGCAGTTTTGTCAGTGTCTATCGGCCTACTGCTTTGTCCCCCTTGTCTGTTTTATGTGTGTATATAGGGAGGCGGCCCCAGGACGCAGTGGGAAGGATACAGAAGAGATTAGCATAGCATATGGCCCCTGCAGAATTAATGATGACACACACAGATTGAGAAATGGTCCAAATTTAAAAAGGAGTATGTCCACTCCCACTCGACAGTCTGCATGCCCATCATTTTCTGTGTCTGCCACTGGGTTTTTGGTTATCCATCTGGCGGTTTAGGTCTGTCTGTCATTCTTTTTGTATCTTTTCATTTCAATTTTATATATATATATTTTTTTAATTTTTAAACCAAGCCTCTTCTATTCTGGGCGGCATCAGGCGGGTTGCTTATCACCGGCAAGCATATGAGTACAAAGAAAAGATAAGCCAGAGAACAGTGTTGACAAAGAAACAGCCCAGCCATTGCGGTACAAGTCACCTACTCAAGGGGGGGGCTGCTTTGATCCCCCCGCCCCCCCCCCAAAAAAAAAACAAAACAAAAAAAAACACTGCTTTCCTAGTGGGCTTCTGCTAGCTGGGAAGCTTACTGGCAGCACCCAGTCACGCAGCAGAAGGACTCTAGGGGAGGCATGGCCGGGGGAGGGTGTCGTTCTAGCAGCCTCACAGGCGGCATTCCAATGAGACAGTCCAGATATCCGAGCACACCAACTCCTACTACCGCCTTCACCCGACTAGAACGCCTGGTCATTCTAGCCGTATCTATACTGAAAATTGCACCAAATACGGCTATGCGTTCTATTCGGGTGAAGACGGTATTCCTACTGTTTAACTCTTGCTTACTTCCATCCGTCAATGATTCTATTCCTCTTTCAACTCTTTCAACTCGTTCCCTCTATCAAACTGCACATCCCTTGTCACGTCCTCTCTTCAGTGTGACAGTCGTGATATCCTGCTTTGAAGAGAATGTCCCCAGCATGTTCCCCCGGTTTAAATTCTTTTTACCCTGTTTTTTTTGCTAAATTTCACTCCCGCAACCCTTTCCCCCTCCTATACTATCCCCCTCCTACCTTCCTATTCTAAGTATTTTAGAACTAATCTTCCTATTGCCAACCTACCACGTACGGAACCATGCTAACTATTTTACAACTCTTCTACACCTATCACTTCTGACCGTGACCGTGGACCATGAGGTTACTATTGTAGGTCCACCGTTTCCGGCGGGGGCACACGACGCAGCAGAACCGGGCTGAAATGAAACCGGCCTGTATCAGGATCCCGGGTCACCAAGTGCGGGTACTGCTCCCATCGTTTCCAAAATTCTCCCACCTTCACACAGCCCCCGTGTCTACAACGTCGATAATCTGCCTGCAGGGCAATCCTTAGGTTCTCCATCGCCCTTGCCTGGTATGCCTGTGCAGTGAGAGTGCCGCTCCATGTCTGCGGCGGTCGTTTCACAGCGTCCATACAGCCCACAACACTGCTGCCCGCATCATCCGAGTCTATGCAGACAACAGGTCTCCAAAGGGTGGCCTGTCAGCTTTCATTAGCCCTCCCAAAAGGACATTAGCTGCATCATCCCTCTCAGTTACTTCCGGCGGTGTCTTATCTGCGATTTCCCGACCCCACCATGTCCAGAAAGCCTGAAGTTGCGGGCATCGTATGAACAGGTGAGGGATCGTCTCCACTTGACCCCACCCTGCTGCACACAGCTGATCCTGGTGCTGACTCTTAGTAGCTATCCATTGTGCTGTCGGGATTGCCATATGGTAGATTTGCCACAACAATCCTGCCTGTTTCTGATCCGGCAGGGCTGTTAATAATAGCACACTGCTCATTCCATCTTTGCTGGGTCCACCGACCTAGGTAGGCATCGGGAAGCCAATCCCTCTTGGCCCACCTGTTCCTTAACTCCTCACAAATGTTAATTGGTTCCATCAGCGAATTATAGATCATAGATGTTTTTAGCGGTCACTTCCTGCATCGGCGTGGCCTTATTATGTGTCCCCTGAGGTGACCATTCCCGGTCCCGTGGGCCTTGGGTTCCAATACAGATCCCGCAGCCTATGTGCAAGCTGGAATGGTCGATATTGTCCCTCTGCGCCTTTTCCTCCCTCGCAGACTGCCACCGTGTCCACTCCATTCCTTACCAGAGCCAATCCCCCCTTCCGTCGCCCCCTTGCTTCCTGCAAAGCCCCCCCCAACCCTCCATATGCTACGCCCGGCATTACCCTCCATTCTGTAACTTCTAGCCTGTCTCCTTGCACAGGCCGCTCCACCCTATATACCCTATCCGGCCTCGGGTTACCCTTGATCCTCACCCACGCCCCTACCGTTATCTGATCCTCTTTCAATATCTGCACCCACTGGGCGGGAATGGCTGTCCTCAGCTCTGCTATTCTTTGCCTCTTCCTCATTCGTCCTGGCAGGGCTGCCTCCATGTCATTGTCCGTGCGCCAATCCTCTCTGCCTTCGTCCCAAAGGTGACGCACCTTATGAACTCCCGGCTCCGCCCATTTCCAGCCATATGCTCCTCGCGGTCCTTGCCATGGGAACGGTTCACCTGCTGCATCACATATTAACCTGTTACCAAAGAGCAGCTGTTACCAAAGAGCAGCTGGTTAAAGACTGCGTCCGCAGTCTCTGGCAACCGACACCTCAGGTTCACTTTTCTTCACGAGGTCCAAACCTTGTCCTTGTGAACATGGCCCATCGCCGAACTGTCTAGTGAACATGGATCCACGAGTTCTCCCGGTATTTGGAGCGCGTAGGCCAAATGGGTTTGGGTAACTTGACACCAAGTCTCTCCCTCCGTGCGAAGCAGGGACCAAATGAGATGCCGTATTTGCAGCGGATCTAAAAGACCCAAACCTCCAAATCGCCTTGGTTGAATCAGCTTCGTCCATGCGACCCTGGGAATAGAGTCTTCCGCCTTGGCATTGTCGGACCGCAGGTGCGCATGAATAGCCTTTTTAATATATCTGAACGTCCTTTTCCCTGGCGTGTGCACGGCCCCCGCATACCACAATGTGGCCAGGACCGAGTTCTTAAGGACCAGGGATTTTCCAAAGACGCCCATGCTCCCTCTTGCGCTCCACGCCTTAAGCCAGGTCACCGCCGCCGTAGCCCGCATGACCATCTGCTCTACTCCTCCAAAACTTGGTGTCAAAAATTTGCCCCCAGAAACGCCATCCTTTCTTCACCTGCTACTATTGGAACATCCCATCCCTCCGGGGGCTCCACCTCTGGTGGAAGGATAGCCTTCGATTTCAACCAGTTGACCTGTGCTCCCACATACCTGCAGAAAATTGCCAAATCATCTTTTAATACCTGCAGCTGCTGGGTGGTCGGGGGGATTACAGCTCCTGTATCGTCTGCAAAGGCCGTGGACGTGGATCTCAGCTCAGCTGCTGGCCCCACCTTCAAGCCCATGATCCTGTCATCCTCCCTCAACAGCTCATGCAGAGATTCTATATAGATAACATATAGAGCCCGGGACAATGGGCATCCTTGTCTAACGGATCGGGTGACAGCGATCTTATCTGACCGTACCACATTGATCAGCATCACCGTCGAGCTTCCTTTCAGCAGACTCCTGACCCATCCACAAAATATTCCGCCAATGCCCCAGCACGCCATTCCTTGTAGCAGAAATTCCCACCGTACCCTGTCGTACGCTTTTTCGAGGTCTATAGATACGAATGCCATGGCCTGACCTGTGCACTGCTCTTCCTCCAGGATTTGCTGGGCCTGCAATACATTCGACAGAATCTGCCAACCCGCCACAAAACCTGTTTGAGTATGATCTATAATGTACGGTAGGATCTCCTTCAGGTGGGTTGCCAACACTTTGGCCAGAATCTTGTATATCAAGCGCATTGAGGATGGATATCGGCCTCCAATTCCACACATCCTCCTCAGGTCCTTTCTTGTGGAGCAGAATTATGTACGCGTCTGCAAATACCCCGGGGGAAGGAGCCCTGTTTCAATGCTTCGTTATGTGCTGCTGTTGGACGGGTCACAAAAAAGTTGTGAAGGTCTTTGTATAGCTGCACCGGCATACCGTCCAGGCCGGCCACCTTGAGTCTAGGGAGATCCACTATCGCCCTCTCTACCTCCTGTGGTTGAATATCCTCCTCCAACTTGCATATACTTTTGAGGTTCAGTCGCCTTTGAATGTGCTTCCAGATTTGTTGGTCCGGCTCCCTAGCCATATCTGCTGATGTCCACTGCTCTTCCTCTGTCAATAGTTGGCTACAGAAGTCTGTAGCATACATCAGAATACCCCGCGTAGTGCGCTGCCTCTCCTTCTGGCTGTCAAAGGGATGATCCATCACTGTCATCGCCTGCATTACTTTCCGCGCACCTACCGTACCAAAAAATTCCCGTGACATTCGCTCGCCTACCGATATCCAGGTCTCCTTTGTTCGCCTACCCCATTTAACCGCCTCCTCCCCTTGCCATTCCCTCCACTCTCGGACCGCTTCTGCATGCTCCCCCCACCATTCCTCCCCTGTTTGCTCTCCTCCAGGGCCGGCATCAAGGTCCTCCATCCTATGCACATATTCCTCCCCCGTCCTTTGGTGTGCGAGATAGCTGCCCCGCAGTTGCCTGCCCAGATTTGCTCTAAGGTTCTGTGTTGCCATCATGATGTGGTCTAGCAGGTTATCCTGAGGGCAATTGCTCACCCAGTCTTCCCAGAAACGCAACACCATCGGTCAGAAAAGACTCAGAATTCCTCACTCTTGAATACCCATGCTGGTATCGACCTGGGGGGCTGGCCCATCTCCATTCTTCCTACAGGGAAGGTTGCAATCACCGCATAATGGTCCGAAGTGGCCATTGGGCTAACATGCACCTGCTCAATTCTTTCGTTAAGGCGCGCCGAGGCCCATATCATATCTATTCTATTCCTTGCCGACGCTGCATTCCCCCAGAAAGTATAGGCCTTCTCTTGCACGTGCATGGCCCTATAAGAATTTGTACAGCCAAGGCTTGTCATTCCGTGCATTAGTGCAAGCGAGTCCGTGTCCATACGCCTGTCATTTGCCACATCTAGCTTTGGATCCACTACTAAATTAAAATCGCCTGCAAAGGCTGCAATGATGATGTTGCTCACGTCTGGCACCAAAGCCCGAAGTCGCTCCCACATCCGTCTGCGCTCCCCACCCTCTGATGGTCCATAAACTGTGACAGACAACTCCCCACGTTTCCTCCCCCCAACTGAGTATGAACCATGCCCACCTACCCTTAGAATCAAGGTATCAGTCCGTCACTTCCCCCCTGACGTGGGGGGATATCAAGATGCACACCCCTCTTCTTGTTCCCTGCGCTGGGGCCCATACGTGGTGCCCCTTCCACAACAGCATCGGTGCCTGTGTTCGTGTTTCATTCAGCTTAGTCTCTTGCAGGCATACCATGTCAATCTGCTCCGCTCTCAGTTTCCTCTCCAGCTCCCTTGGCTTAGGCAGAAGTGACTTGGCCCCCATCCCTCTCACATTCCATGTAATCAATTTCAGCCAGTTGCCTTCCCTTTGCTTCTACCCCTTACCTACTATCCCTTCTCCTCCAATTCTCCTATGACCCTACCTACCTATTAGTCGTATATTCATCCTCCTTACTTCCTATTCTCCTCTAGTCTTTATTGCTTGGGGGGGTGTCATGGTGTCACCATACTCGTGACACCCCTGCAGGGTAATTACCCCTTACTCCCCCCTCTCGCATGCCCCCACGCCCTGCTGAAACTGCGCACCGCCTACTCGCTCCTCCTGCGGCAGCCTTGCATTGACACTGTTGAGTATGACCGGAGTAGTGGTGTGCACTACATGGAAGTCTTGAGAGAGGAGCGTGGGTCCAAATGCCTCTGCAAACTTTATCCATTGCATGGTTTTGTCGTTCAACCTTGGGACTCCTGGCCTTGTAGGCATAGCTTCCACAAATATTTTTTTTTCTAACTACATATTCCTTTCCCTCCGCTGTCATTCTAACGAACCTAGCGGCCAAAATCCGAGGCAGTTGCACCAGCAGGTATTTCGGACCCACCCACTTCGCCACTTGCTTGAGCACTTGCTGCTCCTGCGGTAGGTTGTCCACGGAGAAGGTGGGTATACTCACCACCCCTTTTCTATTAACAGCTTGATTCCTTCCAGCGCCCGCCACAAAACGATTGGGCACACACGACATTCCCCTGCTTGCGAGATGTCTTCCAATCTGCCCTCCACTCGCTCCTGCATTGCCAGTTCCGCTATTGGGTGAAGCAGATGTTGTTGGCGCTGATCATCTCCTTTCGACTGCGGCGACTCCCCTTTGGTATATCCCTCAGTCTGCTCTGATTCCATAGGAGCTAAACTGCATTGTTCCGTCTCTTGCTCCTTTTCATTCGTGCCCTCACTCAATTCCTCCTCTTTCTGTTTTCCCGTTTCTGAACACTCACCCTGTTTATCCTCCGAGCTCTCAGAACTATCTGAGTCGCTTGTTTCAGAGGATTGCAAAGACCCCTCCTGTCCCTGAATACTTATGCCGCCCCCCTCCTGTCGCCGGGAGAGCGAAGCTAGGTTCCTTTGAGGGGAGGGAGGCTGATGGGGATGGTGAAACGTCCCTTTTGCCCCTCCCCCTCAGTCAGTACCCCGGCTCATGGCCCGTACTCCCCAACGGGGACCGCTCCTGTTCTCGCGTGCTCCCTGATTTACTCTGTGATCGAACTGTTTGAGCTCTCCATACTGGCTCTGGGCAATATGCATGTTTTACCCTTGTTGATTCAGCTGTTGTTGACGAACACGCTGGAACTGGGAAGCATTCTGCTGACGAGGAGCTCTTGGGTGCGCCTGCCATCATCTGTTTCGTTCTCCACGTTCGTCTGGTTGGCAATTTGCCGCTTCTAATTCTTTCTACTATTATCGGCATCTCGTAAACCAGTCTGTTTTGTGTCTGGGGCCGTGGCTGATTCGCCTGATTTTCCCATCTTATCCTCCTGGTCTGTGTCTACTCTCCCCACTTCCTCCTCATTTTTTGCTTTCACTGTCTCCTGACCCGATCCTCCCCCCTGCTTATGAACCCCCTCCTCCTCCAGTGAGCCCTCTTCCACTATCTCCTTGGCAGACCGTCTTCCTCTTCATCGTCCCCCTGATTTACCTTCAGTACACTCTCTTGCTCTGTATCCACCTTTTCTTAGCTTTCTCCCCTTGATTCATCCTTTACGCTCCCCGCAGCATGCTGTTCCTTCCCCTCTTGCTTATCCAGTTGCTTTTCCTCAGCACTAGTCTTCTCCCCTTTGTCGCTCTCATGCTTTTCCTCCTGCTGAGCCATTCCTTCTCCTTCTGATGTACTCGTACCGGTGGATTCCTCCTCGCACGGTCTTCTCGCCCTCGTCCTAACACTCCCTCCTCTGCTGGACCCTTGTTCCTCCGACCCAGTCTTCCTCTTCCACTTCTCCTTCCCCGCTTCGTCCTTTTTGGCCACTGCTCCAACCTCTTCCTCCCCTATCCCGAAAGCCATTCTCCTTTGGAGCCTGTTGTCCGCCTTTCACTCCCTCCCTATTTCTTTGTTCTCTTTCCTCATCCGTTCTGCTTCCCTCCATTTTCTTATCCCCATTCTCTTTACATTTACGTCTTTCCTCCTCCGTTCGGCCCACGCCCTTTCCCTGTATCTGTTCGTCAACCACCTTTGGCTTTCTCTCCTCTTCCGACCCCCGGTTAAATGTCAAATAATAGAGGCCTCTGCTTCCTGTTGCGCCTTTGGCTCCACTCTGGCGATAGATCAGGCACGAAGCGTCTGCTCGAGTACAAATGCGGGTGCGGCCTCCAGCAAGCAGTTTTGGAGTTCGAGCGCCCACTTCTTTCGCTGGCCTTTTCGGCCCACGCCCTTTCCCTGTATCTGTTCGTCAATCACCTTCGGCTCTCTTCCCTCTTCCAACCCCCGGTCAGCCTGCTCAGCTTTCCTCTTCTTCTCTTCCCCAAACAGCCATTGTGCCTCATCCGTCTGCATCGGGTCATCCCCCCTTCCCTCCCAGTGAGACATTCGGCCTGTACCCTCTCCCACGCCTTGCCTTTCTTCTTCGCCGCAGGTCTCCTTCCTGCGGCCATGCTGTCCGGCCTTCCTTCCTTATGAGGAGCTGCTCCAATCCCCTTCTGCACCACCGGATCCATTAGGATTTGGAGGTCGTGCCACGCCCTTCTCTCCTCCTCCAGATCCGAATGCAGTATTGGGTCCATAGCGCTCCTAAGCTGTCTATTATACAGCTCCTGCATCGTCTCGGCTTGTGATAAACATCTCCCATGCGTTCCAATATGTCCATGTGTATAGCAGACTTCGCAAAAAGGTGTCTCGCTCATGATGACCCTGACCTCCTTTTGTATTCTTTTCTGCAGATGTAGCTTCTCTTTTTGTTTGTATAGGTCTCATAAATATACCAATAATGAAATTCTCTGTAAATTGGTGGAACACTTTGCATCAACCTTCTAGTATTAGCCAATTTGGTACATCAATACATCTTTCTATGCTGATACCCATCTTTCTGATGTTTACTAGCTTTTTGTTGTTAACTTTGATTTTTCTTCTGATAGAAACACGACAGTTTATCCTATCTTTTTATATAGTTATTCAATCAAAAACCGGTTGAGTCAGTGTTCAAGCGACTAATTTGAAATTGAAATTAAATGTACTAAGGACATGTATGTTGAAATAGGTCATGATTTTTTCATTCTTAGCATTTTTGTTGCATTAGCCTACAAAAAAATAATCTATCTTTTTTTTGTTCACTTTACTTAACGGATTCTTCAAAGGGCCGTCTAGTACGTACCTCACGAACTCCCGGTCGTCATCATCAAATGCTTGCTCTGTGACGACCGGGCCAAAAAAGTATTCCACCTCCCCCCTCATCCATTTGACCGCTAGGGGGGAGGGCTTGAAGACCTTAACCCATGGCCAACGTCTTCGTTCGGCCCTCTTTGCCGCATTCATTTCCGCAGGTGACTTCCACGGCTGCAGTTGCACCTGCCCCTGTACCCCGGGCATATGCAAGTCTTCGACTCGTTTGTCGTTTATTAACCAGTCTCTTACTTCAACTGTGGGTGCAAGGTACACAGTATCTCCTTCTGTATGAATCTCCCCCCGCCACGCCCCCCTACCCAACATCCATGCCTCCTCCATATGTCTAGCCCATTCCCTTTTGGTCTTTCATGACCAACTGTTTGTCTCCTCTGGTAATCTACATGCGGCTGTATGAGCCCTCACGTATGTATTTTGCAGATACATAAGTACAGTACTGGGCCTTGCGGTGTACACTCCATCAAGCATCACGTACTCTATTAGGCCTAGCCCCTCAATTGGTCGATGCAGCAAGTATGACTTCGTAAGTATCTGCATGAGGAAACCCCTTCCGTACTCCATTCCCTCCATATCATTCGGCTCCCCCACCCCTCTTTCCGGTACGTACTGCCCCCCTTCCATTCCCCTCGTTCCCTTCCTAGTAGGTCCTATTTAACCCCCCTTCACCCTCCCCCCCACGTCCCTGCACTAGTTCACCCCGAGTCGCTATTCGTATACGGCTCGTCTTACCTTCGCCACTGATCAACTCTTCACCCACACTTACCGGAGGTATCCCTTCCCGAGTGCTCCTCTGAAGACTTCCTTGCTCTCGCAAGGTTGACCAGTCCGCAAAACTGTTTCACGAATCACCACACCTTACAGTCTATTGGTTCATCGAGGGGGACTCTGAAGAAAACTCTATTGGTTCATCGAGGGGGACTCTGAAGAAAACTCCATTCCTCCACACCCTGGCTAACCCCTCCCAGCTTTTAATGTCCTCCTTTCCCCCACTACAACGTTTTCCCCCCTTTCCACCTCTCCCTATCACCTAAACCCCTCTCCCTTCACTCCGCCGGTAGCCCGACGCATCGCTACCGTCTTCACACGTCAAATCTTGGTCCGCGCTTGTCGAGCAGCTACCATCTTCACGCGGGGGGCGTCGAGGCAGCTGTGGCGAGAAGTCTACCATAGCCAGACGCCGCCAGCCTTCGCGTCTTCCGGCCGTCGTTGCCTAAGTCAAACCGGCGTGAAGTCACCGAGAGAGGAAAAAGGTTGCACGGCAGACCGCCGCGCGGTCGAAAACCGACTGGTCTTACTCCTGCGCTAAAATTAGCGCTATTGAGTCCGAAACCCGCCTACCCTCAGCACCATCCCGTCATTCTATCTTTTTCTTTTCATTTCTTTTTTCATTTTCAAAGGGAGCTCCTTATATTCTCGGGAGCAGCAGTCCGGGTCCGGTTCCTTTTCCACCTGGCCCGACGGAAAGCTCTCCCGGGAAATCGGATGGATGACGTGGGGAATCGAACCCACGACCTCCTGAATGCCACTTACGTGCTCTACCAACTGAGCTAGGCCGCTGGCCCCTGACATCTTCTTTTTGTTTTTTCTATAGGGAGCTCCTTCTATTCTGAAAATAGCAGTCCGGTTCCTTTTCACCTGGCCCGATGGACCACGGATCAGATAATAAACTTATCAGAACAGATACTACACTTTATCTATGTTTAGCCTGAAGGCCAAGAAAGGAATTGTCTGTCATTCTATTGGTCTTTTCGCCAGTCTGTCTTCTGCCAGCTTATCTGTTCACTTGTCAGTTTCTCAGCGAGTCAGCCTGTGTGTTGTCTCTGTTTGTTTGGCTGTCCATCATTGTGTTCTTCCTCCAGGCTGAGCATGTATGTTTATCTGTTCTTGCTCCACCCGTGCATCTGTCCGTTTGCCTGTCAATTTGTCGGTCTGTCAGTTTGTCTGCATGTCATTCTGTCCGCCTGTCTGTCCGTCCCCTCGTCCACCCGTCTGTCTGTCTGTCTGTCAATCTATTCGGCTGTCTGTCTGTCTGTCCATCTATTTGGCTGTCTGTCTGTCTGTCTATCTATTCGGCTGTCTGTCGATCCGTCCATCTGCCTGCTTGCCTGCCCGCCTAGGTCCCTCTGTGTCTCCATCTTCTGCAGGTCCATCTCTATCATCTCTTTTTGTTATGCTGCCGTTACGTACTTTCTACCCTTTGTCACTCTGCGTCTTTTGTGACGCCGTCTCCATCTGTGTTGCCACTCTTCCTTATGGAATCCACACACAACGCAATGCCTATAAAATTGTGGGCGGCGTGCCTCTGTGTTCCTAGTATGTAGGAGCCATGTAGCCTGTGACATCCTTCTACGCCGTGCCATGATGCAGCAACTGCAGCTGCGAGAATTGGATGCGGTGCTTCCATAGTCCACACTCGAACTGGTCCTGTCTGGTCTGTGGGGGTGGTCACTTACCACGGGCGACGGTTGCTCCGCAACTCAAAATCTCCTGCAACTGTCGGCGGGTCGGCAGCTGCCGACCGTCGGGGGCTGCAACACTGCCTGCAACCCAAACACTGACCGACTTCTCTTGTTATTCTATAGTAGTCTGCTCCAGTGGTGAGTATTGAGAACCCTCTGAAGTTTGTCATTCCTCTGTTCTGTTCTGCTTCAGGCCTGTGCGACCTCGATCACGAGAGTGCCACTCGGTGGGGTGGGTGGTAGCTTCACCATATCTCTGGTGAGTACCTGCGCGGGCTCACGCAGAAGCTGAAGACTACCAACTTCCCGGAGCACAACACAGTCTCATCGTGAATGTACACAAGCTATCTTTCTGTCATGATGCAGTCATGATAAGGGTGTGTTGTGTTCGGGGGAAGATGGTCATAATGCTGCATAGTGCAAATCCACCATTGCTGTACAAATCTGGAATATTCTCTTACACACCCATGTCTCGCAAGTGCACATCAGGATCTCAAGCACCATTACCATTGCGAAGAAGAGCTCAAGCACCGTAGCCATTTCATGTCCTCCATAGCTAGAAGCCATCCCCGATAGCCAGGGAAGCTTCCACCATAGCCTGAGAGCTCCGCTCCCTTCTTCCTCCGCCCCCGCGACCAGACTGCACGGTCATTTCCTTCCTCGCTCGCCAACCTTTTCTCCAGCGCAATCGATGCTCAGCATTGTAGTCAACAAAGAGGCCTGACTATAAGCACTGACCTCCTTTTGCAGCTTGATGGGGGACAATATCGCTTCCCACACTCCAGTGCCTCCAGTGCCTCCAAGGCCTCAGCCTTGCTACCTTGTTAAACCACCAGTACACCCTGGTCTGGCGGTCTTCCGCAGCGCGCCAACCTTTACTGAATCGCCAGCAGTGCACTTTTTTTACTTCTTTGGCTGGCACCGCCAGCCATTGTGGTCTGGTAGCCTGGAGCCTCCGAAATTTTTGTAGGTGATGAGAGATTTCTCCACAAGGCTGCGTTCATCTTTCCCACCCACCCCAGGGTGGGGTGGTGTCGGCTCCATACTTTTCTTGGCCAGGCAGCGAAGGAAGCTGACGAGCGGAAAAAGGGATTTGAACCCTCAACCTTAGCCTTGGCAAGGCTATACTCTACCATTAAGCTATTTCCGTACAATTCTTCCTTCCTTGGTACGCAGCCTCCTGCCTGTCCGTTTTGGCAGGAAAATGATGACACTTCAGGTCAGTTTGCTACAGTTTCTGGCCAACATAATGCACCCACAGCATGACTGTATCGGACTGGAAAGATAGTTCATATACATTCAAGATCAGGGTGGTTTTATGTCCAGGGGAGGATGGCAGGGTCAGAGTAGATCCTGCAATTACCATCATGGTGATTGGCCATCAGCGCTATCATAAATTTATAATACTTCTGTTCCCCGAAACCCCCTGCCCCATTAAAAGGGCGACGGTCTTGAGATATCATCATTGAACGGAGCGGCCATAGGTTATTCAGAAGAATCAGAAGTATATTTATTTGTTAAGCTGACTGCGCCTGGATTCGAACTTGGGTCTGAATTGCAACAGCTCATGGGTGTACCAACTGAGCGAGGCCCGCTGGTTATATTAGATTAGATTATAATACTTCTAATGAACAATCGCTTACTTTTGATTGGGCCCAGGCATATATCTTACCCCTCTGGCTTGTCTTGAATCCGGATATGCCCGGTACCGAGAAACCGAAGACGCAGGAGCGCTTATTGGGTCGGGTTTTTCATCGTACCACCCACTCAGTAGAAACCTCCCACCTACTAGGCTCCGACAAACTCACCAGTTCGTTCCGCCACGGTCCAAATTACGAGATTGTCTGTCTGTTAAAAAAACCTGTTGTCCACTGGATTTTGAATTTCAGTCTCGAGTTGCTGAGTTCACAGCTTTGTCGGTAATGACCGTCTTCTGGACTCAGAACTGAACATGGCCACTCGTAACATATTTTTGACAAAAAAACTTTCTTATACAAGCCGGGAACCGGGCCCGGCATCCCTGAACAATGTTGTTGTGCTCCCCCAATGGGACGGCATGTTGATTTGGGGAGAGATCAAGACTTGGACATGTCAGAGATGAGCTGACACCCACATTGTCACACACAGAAAGCTTTATAGCCTCCTCTTTTTTTTTTTCTTTTTTTTTTAACTAAGCTATGCTCTTCAGTCATATACCTCGCTCTACCCAACCTCTTGCCTATGTCCAGTTCTTGAATATCGATTGTTGCAGCAATCATAAGAGTTATGGGTTGGCACTGACCTCCTCCCGTGACCAAGCACCGCAGCTTGCCAAGCCCTACCTGACGGGGGAAGCCAACTAACTCAGCTGGTGAAGTCAGAGAGAGAGAGAGAGAGAGAGAGAGAGAGAAAAGAGACTTCAACAATGCAAAGCAGAGGAAGGTAAGGCCAGGCCAGGCCATGCAAAGCAAAGCAAAACAAGGCAAAGCAAGGCAAAGCAAATCAAATCTGAAAGCTAAGCAAGGCAAAGCATAGAAAAACTAAGTTAAGTGAACCTGGTGGTAGTGGCAGGGATTCTCCAAGTAAAAGTTGAGCTCTACTTTAACTTCTACCGGCTGAGCCACTCGTTTTGCCTGTCAATGCCTGGGTGCCCTGGCTGAGCCAGCTGAGAGCAAGGTCCCGGGCAAGGTCGTGGGCAGCACCATCACGAAAGGAAAATGAAACAAGAAATGTTCAGAAAAGTCCAAAAGACGATCTGGTGTAAAAAAAATGCAGACCAAAGTTACCAAACAACTTTGGGCCGAGGGCCTCAGTAGAAAATTAAATTATGACACATTCACACACCCCTTTGAAGTTTTAAGTTTTAAGCCCCTTTGAGCCCCTGTAAACCCTGTTTATAACCTCCAGACTCCCAAGGCCCGAGGGTGAACCATTGCCAAAACTCCATATATGAGGCCCGAGCTAAGATATGACCTGAAGCCAGGTTTTTCTTTTTTTTTTCGGATTTTCCCCCCCAATTTCTTGGCTCATTTTTCATCTGCCTGGCTCTCCAAGCGGCTGGGGTCTGGCCTGCCTGGACCTGACTGCTGGCCCGGAGACAGGCCCACCCCGACAACTCCGAAAGCCAGGGTCAGCATGTGGTTGCAGCTGTATGTCATCGTAGGAACATTTTGTTACTATCATATAAATGATATAAGTCAATAGTTTATTTTTTAATTAAAAAAAAAACGGATCAGATATTGAACTGCTCAGAACAAATACTACACTTGATCTTAGCCAAAAGGCCGAGAAAGGAACAAGGAACCAATTTTTTTTGTTATTATCTGGTGGGTCTTTGTTTTTTATCCCTCATTTGGGGGCATTTCTGCAACTTTGAAGCAGGCCAATGGGATTGATTTCAGTCTTAGTGACTGATTCCGTTTCGATGGATTGATTTCAGTTTTAGTGACTGATTCCGTTTCGATGTTCATGTGCTCAACTTCTTATGGTTCGTGCGACATCACACGCATGGTAGTTTCTCAGGTCTTTCACTCATGGTCCATTTTTTTTCCATCAGAGATCTGAAGCAGAGTGTGCTGCAAGTCATCTGTGGTAGTGGAAGAGCACCAAGAGTAATTGCGGCTGTAGTGGTTGATAAAGCGACAGTTGGGAGAGATCTAGAAGGAGAAAAAGTGAGAAGGTGAGCAAGGAGAAGGAAGAGGAGAGGATAGAGAAGAGAAGTCAGAGGAGGAGGAGGAGGAGGAGGAGGAGGAGGAGGTGGTTTGTGATCCAGTAGGAACTGGATTGCACTGTGCTTCTAAGAAGTGTATAGGAAGGAAGAAGGGGACGAGGAGGCGGAGGAGGAGAGTGGAGGAAGTCATGCAGGGGCACTGGGGTTAACTGCGAAAGGTTATGCAAGGCACAACCAGGGACGGTGCTGAGGATGAGAAGACTGTCTCCATCTTGCGTACATGAGGCACTATGTTCCAAGGGCGGCACAGAATGATATCGCGGGGGGTAACCATTGATTAGCGTGACCCAGAACAAGATCCATGAGTGCAGGTCTTGTCCATCACTGTGCATTGTGCCTTCTTCCTCCTCTTGTTCCTCTGCTTTCATGACCTCAACGGCGTCTTCAGGTGCGTTGTGATCACCAGACGAGCGCTGCAGGCAAGACTGTGAGCCCGTTGGCAGCGCCACAGCACGTCTCATGATGCCCAGCAGTAGCTGTTCTGGCTCTGTGAGGGGCGAACAAGCATGCGGATCGACCGACCTGATGTTGCCACAAGCAGGAATGACACTGTCAGGCTGCATATGCCAGGAACATGCAGGCACTGCCACATGTCAATGCCTCGTTGATAGTTTCCGCGTAGCAGGGGGAAGCACAATGCTGGCAGATGCGCCGTGTGCTGAAGTTGATTGCACTGCCTCCTCACGCAGCGACAAGGAAAGAGAAGCGGGGAAGCGGAACGTGGAGGAAGGTAACGGGATCGAAATGGAGGAGGTGGCAGGAGCTGAGCTGCCATCTGCCTCATCTTGGAAGAAGCCTCTAGATCAGAACGTGTTGTCAGCATTGAAAGGTGACGAGATCGTGCGGGCACAAAATTGGAAAGCGGAGCTTGCGGAAAAGGGGAAGGAAGTGGGAATGACAGACGAGGAGCCTTCTTCTTCAACCTCTTCGGCGAGTCGAGGGGATGAGAATGAAACGACAAATCTTTTGTCGGAAGTCCAGACGAATGTTCGGTATATGTTCTCGGCTACAGACGTATATACATTTGTCTGCATCACTGTATGGGTCAGCCTTTGCTGTGCGATCGTCAGGAGGCGGATGGCCATGTGGATCGTGGGCTTTTCATTCATAGCGTTTGAGGTCGCCTCCCTCCTCCTCGGACTGTGTGACAAACAGCGATCCTTCACTAATTCTTTAACTGCTGCTGCTGAAATCACAGTTACCTACACAGTGGCGAGTGAGAGAGGCCAGCATCACACCCAACCCGCACTTCCCCAGCGCCGTGATCTGTACCATAGCACACTTATTGCCTACATTCATTCCTTGATAGCTTCTATAGGAGGTAAGGACTTGGCACTGTCAACCCCATCCTTGGCACTGTGAACCCCATCTGTCTGTTGCTGTTCGGTTGAAAAGGGAAATGGGGTCTCTCTGAAATGCGAATTATGATTTAAGACCATTACCTGAAAAGAAAACCCACTTGGTTCTTTTCCGTCTTCTCGCTCGTCTCGTTATTGTTCTTGTTCTTTCTTCTTCTTCCATCGTGACGGTCTTGTTTCTTCTTCTTCTTCTCCCCCCCCCTCCCCAACCCAGCCCAACCCACTTCTGCGGGGTTGATGGGGAGGCCTTCTTTTCTGTATGCTTCCACCCTGCTACCATCTGTGTTGATTCTCTTCCCAAATTGCGTTCTAGGTCTGTTGTGCATGCATTGGCCAGATCTGTGCATTCTGTTCAGCCTTCTGCTTTGTTCTTCATCACACCGTTCCAGCAGGATTGACCCTCACTTTCCAGCAGTCGAACCTCCGACTTGGACATGCAACAGAGACTCAGGGAAGCATACGATAGCAGCGCGAGTAGTTGGGGACACTCTGATGACCGGTCTGATGTACACAAGGTGAGTGCTAATAGACAGCAACAGGGAAAGAGGAGGCCATCTCCTGGGCTATGGTCGTCCCCAGTTGGAGATTGGGTTCTGGCGTTCTCGGGCTTTGGTCGTCCGGCTGTCCACTAATCTGTTTTTACTGATTGGAGACCACCATCGCCCACCACCACTGCCCACCACCATAGCCCACCACCCATAGCTATGGTGGCCTCGGGCTATAGAGATCTCCTGTAGGAAATTAGTGGATGAAGACCACCATAGCCAAGCACCACCAGAGCCTACCACCATAGCTCGAGAGATGTGGAGAGATGGTTAATGGAAGGGCCAAAATTCGAGCCCACCACCATAGCCCACCATCCATAGCCCACCACCATAGCCCACCACCCATTGCTATGATGGTCTCGGGCTATGGAGATCTCCCGTAGGTAATTACTTTGAGCTGACTTACAAATGCTTCTCTGTGTGCTGCGCATGCTTGCTGACTGCGGCTGGGGGATGGGGTCTATGGAAGCTGGAATTGACTGCAATATCATAATAATACAATTAGTATCTGTTCATCGTTGAATGGTAGTGGGAGGCCGAGTAATGCGGTGAGAAGGGGGTGGAGCTCTTGCGTATTTTGTCTTGCTCGATTGACCGGCCTTCTGTTTGTTAGCTTCATTCAGAAGATTGAGAGCGTGGTAAAGAGGCGATGGTGGGTTGTGCGACCTACATGTATGGGCATGTATTATATAGACGATCGTCGGTTTGTTGCATGGGCCTGTATTGTGCGGCGGGGTTGGACTGAAACATGCAGCGGCAATAATATTGTTGCTATGTTGGGCTCACTTAGATTGTACTTTGTGTTGGACTAGATGAATCTGGTCAGCATGGAGGCCAAGTTCCCTGGAGCCTTTGGAGCGGGCTCATGTCTCTGTCACAAATCAAGATAGGGCTTGAAAGTCTGAGAGATTGGGTTTGAATTGGTTCGGAAGTTTGGGCTTAAATTGTGATGCTGCTGCTCTGCGCTGCTGAGCTTCTCTCACCTCTCAAAAGAGCATATGATTTATTGCACTGGAACGTCCAGGAAGAATCACAAAATTCATACCATCTTTGACCCATGTTTCACAGTATCACTCCTTTTTATATTCATCTTAAGCTCAGAAAAACTTCAAAAAAGGAATTACAATATATCATATTCGAAATGATCCCCAAACTATAGACATCCCTAATCGTCACAACCGGTTGATCTGGGCTGTTCACCAGAGAATGGCCCAGATGAGCGATCGATCACCAAAATGTGTGCGTCTGCCTTACTGCCTGTCTCCTTGTCTGCATATCTCTTTGCCTCTCTCTCTCTCTCTCTCTCTCTCTCTCTCTCTCTCTCTCTCTCTCTCTCTCTCTCTCTCTCTCTCTCCTGTCTCTTATACACATCTAGTTTTTTTTTTTTTTGGAGGTTTAGGAGGTTTTCGATTGAGCTCTGGACATAATTGCGGTCAGATACGTTTTTCTTAATGTCATTGCGGTTGGATACATCGACGACATTCCTCATGTGAGGTACACCCTCCCTTGGTAGAGTACTTTTGTGCAAAATAATATATGACAGAATCAAACAAAACAAGAAAGAGAAAGGGGAAAAAAAAAAAAAAAAAAAAAAAAAAAANTCTGCCTTACTGCCTGTCTCCTTGTCTGCATATCTCTCTCTCTCTCTCTCTCTCTCTCTCTCTCTCTCTCTCTCTCTCTCTCTCTCTCTCTCTCTCTCTCTCTCTCTCTCTCTCATGCTTGGCTTTGTGGTTCACATTTTTCAGATGCCCTTGCTCTCCTGCTGCACTGTAGGAAGCATTAGCAGTTTTCTGTCCTAAAGCAGATGTGACTCTACAGCTGTTATTGCACAGATTGTCATGATTAGCTCATGCAACTCTACTGTGGCTATGTGTGTGTTAGGCTACGTACTTATCCGGCCGTGCTCTCAAGATGTCAACTTTTGATGAAAAGAATTTAGGGCCTTGCTCTACCACTCGCTGAATGTAGAAAGTGGACCGATTATTACTATCATCGTCTAATCGAACGCGAAAAAATACGCTCACCATTTTTTTTCATGTTTGTCGAGTGGTAGGGTGAGACCCCTGATCCTCTCTGTCGATATGTCAATCTTGCATTCTTTGATTTTGCGAGGCAAGTCTCTCTTCCATTTATCGTTTGAAGGTATCAATCTGCACGACGAGAATGATTGGAATGAGAGCGGAAAGGAAGACAGTTTTTTCGTTTTCGTGATGAATGCACTCAAAGTCTCAAACGCACTCAAATCTTGAAATGTAGGTAAAACAGTGGCAATGATAAAATACGAACTTCGCGAGAAGGTTTTGGGAGATTATGGAAGTGCTGAAGCAGGCTCGTGCCAGGACTTTTTCGACTCATCTCTTGATGTAATTGCTGTCAGAAGCATCTCAGGATGGCTGTAATTGCTGCCCGATACATCCCAATATGGCCGAAATTGCGCTCAGATACAACTCAGGATGCCTGCAATCGCAGTCAGAAAGATCGAGAAAACTTGTAGTGTGGGTATGCTCTTAGTGTATGATTATTGAGGTCTTGATTTCCAAGCTAAGTCCAACTTCTGTGAGTGCAGGCATCACACTGACGTATGTAGGCTGGATTTTGCCCCAAATACAGCCTGGTCATTATCATTGTATGACAGTGTATGTAGATTGAAAGTTGCCCAAAATACAGAGCTAGAATGACCAGGCGTTGTATTCGGTTGAAGATAATCGTGTGAGCATGCTCTTAGTGTATGATTATTGGAGTCTTGATTTCCAAGCTGATTCCAATGTCTTTGAATGCGGGCGTCCCTCTGATGTATGGAGACTGGAATTGGCCCAAATACAGCCCGATCATCATCGCTGTATGTAGACCGAAACTTGCCCCAAATACAGCTGGAATGACCAGGCATTTGTCTTCGGGTGAAGATGGTAGTGTGAGTATGCTCTTAGTGTATGATTATTCGGGTCTTGATTTCCAAGCTGATTCCAGCTTTCTGTGAGAAGGGGGGGGGCGCAGGCATGAGTCTGAATACTGATGCCGTTGATCCGTCTTTTTTGCGATTTTCTCAGTTGGTATTGTCTTTCTGCAGGAGGGGGACAAGTTTCCTTGGGGCATGTATAGAGAACACGGACCATGGGCATACATCGTTGTAGGCATGTCGTGCGGCTTCTTTGCGTACGACCTATGGGATATCGTACAGCGGCGACTTTATAATCCGCGCGCCCCGTCAATCCTGTTTCATCATGTGGCCGTCCTTGTGTGCTTTACGACCGCACTGTACAGAGGGGTCGGTATAAATTACCTTGTGCTTCTAATGGCCAGCGAGATAAATTCGGTATTTGGTCATCAACGGAGGATGCTACGACTGCTGGGTGTGCCCGATGGCGGTCTTGTCAGCACGATGAACTGGGTCTGCAACTGGTTCACCTTCATTGCAGCGCGAGTGGTGCCTTGTGCGTTGTTGTCGGTGCTGCTGATCCTTGACTGGGGAAGCTTTCCCATCATGTTCTTCATCGTGTCGAGCATTGGGATGACCTGTGTCAATCTTCTGAACGTGCAGCTGTTCACGAGTTTGCTGAAGGCATACTGCCATGATATGCAGACCCGGGATGGGTTGCACTTAGACCATGGAAGCAGGAAAGAAGATTGATTGATTGATTGCGTGATAGATTGACTGGCTGCTTGAAAGGCATAGAGATTGATTGATCGATTTTCTGATTGGCTGATTGATCAATTGTCCAATTGGTTGATCGGTTAATTGATTTGATTATCGATTGGCTGATTGATTGATTGATTGTTTGATGGATTGATTGATCTGTTATGCTGTGGAGTAATCTGATCGACGAACACAAATGAAAAGCAGTGGCTTCCTTCATGACTTTTCCGTGTTGATTTATTTGCACACCTCCCTTTTGGTTGTGGAGTATGTAGATATTTGTACAAATGTTTACAATGATTTGGCCTTTGGATATGAATTGTGGTTGCATGAATGACGGTTCAGAAGAGATGAAATGAAGAGGCGGATAACGAGATG